TTACATTGGATAATTTCTTTATTTTATTTCTTTATTTTAACATTAAACTGAAATATCCGAATAAATATCACATAAAATAATCACCAAATATGTTATTTGTCTGTCGTTGCCTCAGTTCTAATGATTTTCACTTGGCTGCATGCCCGATGTTCATATTTCTGTGTCAATTTCTGTTAAGAAACTTTCATATCGCTTCTCTCCCTCTGATCGGTGTGTGTGTGAGTTGATTCGTTTGGAAATGAAATCTAATAATATGGTGTGGCTGGTAATTTATGACCCAATGATTGAATTTGAAAGACCACACACAAAACCGAGTAAGAGCCGAGCTGTTCAATTATAACAATAATAAGGAAAACGAAAAATCATTCAAAATAAAAACGAAGAAAGAAACAAAAAGCACACCAACTACAAGTGCGTTTTCCCCTTAATATTTTTGGTGTGTGTGTGTTCCATTGTGGTGATGTGATGATGATGAACGTAACAGGTCTTCATGAACTCTGTGGCGCACATGTCGAAGGGCATAAAAACAAGGCGAACCAAAGAGAAAGACGAAATAATGAGAAATGAAAGCGAACGCAGGCACACAAAACAAAAGCAACAACACAAGCGAGAATATAGTGTTGATAAGCGGTGAACGGACATTAGAACGAAATCGATTTCGTTGTTTTTGTTTTCTCTTCCTCCTTTCATTCTATCTTTCTGGTGTCGAACAGGAATATTGGAATTTCGTGGGGTGAATCCAAGCGTATACAATTCATATGGCTGGGATCCATCTTGGTGTATGCATTTTTCAAGTATCAGCTCATTTGTTTGTGAACGACAGCTGTTGAGAGGCAGAGAGACAGCACGAGATTGAGAGAGTAGAAGAAATGGGGAATGAATGAATGGGAGCAACGGAACGCAGCGAAAAAGGAATCAACATGATGTGCTGTGTAACGATAATGACATCAAATTCTAATTGGAAACATTCTTCTCCACGGTCCATGGTTTTAAATTATTTTTTTCTTATCTCATTTGTTGAGTTTGAGTTCTTTTTTTCGATTGAAAATGCACGTGTGTGGCAGGCTGGCAGGCAGGCCTAGATTGAGAATCGTTTCTAATAAGAGACAGAGAAAATTAAAGGGCACCGAGGTGAGGTCATGCGATGATTGTTTTTGTGTGTGTGATCTTTGCTTTCACAGTGTATTTTATGATATTGACTGTTTATTTGTTGATTATATACTCTTTCTTTCATCAGATTGAATTATTAACCGATATCTAAACGACCCGATCGATTCGATTGGAAAGTTTATTGTGTGACACCATTATCTAGCGTTCAATCGATTGAGTGCGCGTCAATTTGATGCCTCCATATCAGTATGAAGTGAGTGAGAAAAGAAAGCCGCGCGCTCGTATCATGTTCGCTTTCGATGCCAAACAATTTTGTTTCGTGGAACACCCATGACGGCCATTACGATTGATTATAAATTCAGTGTAACATACGGTTTGACGTTCCACATTGAATGCTTGTCCTGTGCGCAAACATTTTAATTCATACTCGGTTCCTGTGTTTCCACCGGATCGATTTTCTTGTCGGAATGTGTTTCATGTCTGGCAGACATTTTCTTTTGCTAAACAAAAGATGATAAGCAATGTAAAATTGTTGCAAGAATCTAAAAACAAAAACTTTTCACTTCGCATTATGATAATGAAACTACAGTGTGTTTTCGCCATTTTTAACTTCATTGCGTCGGCTTCATCAACATAATGGCATTAATCATAGAATGCAAAAATGCGGCGAAATGAGTCTGAACCATGGACACCACCACAGAGAGAAAGAGAAAGAAGAACCACCGCATGAAAATACGACTAGAAAAACTGTTCGATGTATCAGATCTAATAATTGAAACTTTTAACATATTTTCGTCCACCTTTACCACACACACTCTAGCCGGCTTGAAAACAACGACGAGCGCAAAATATGTTTAACTACTAAGCTTATCGTTGGTATTCCACGCTGTGGTTGTTGTTTTTTTTTGTTTCCAGTGTTTCTTCTTGTTGTTACGAACTTTGCTACTGTTCACTTGCTGCGTTGATTCCATTCGATCCGCAATGCGCCTCATTTACGATTACTGCCGCGCAAATATTTAAATTAAGTGCTCGTTCAAAAGTGTGTACACACTCACCAGGCGAACGTACGATGGTGTATGCGTTTCTATATATATGTGCGTTTTTTTTTCTCCTCTTTCTCTCGCTTCCGTTTTGTTCTCACAACTTTTTCGTAATTTTTCTCGATTCAACGGTGTGGCGTTCACACCGCGAATCGTAATCAAATTCCAGAGTTTTGCTGTTCTGGTGCTCACTGGTATTTAATACTTTCGCGTTCCTCACATTAAATAAGGATGTGTCAGTTTGATGGTAATTTGCGTTGAAAAATCCAAACCTCTCTCTCTCTCTCGTTCTCTCATTCACTCTACCTGTTCATTATAGATGTATTCATGACGATCATTATATATTTAAATGATATTTTTCCGCATCTTTCTCTCTTCTTCATTCATTTCGACGGGGATTGCACGTGCTCCTGTGACCATTTATTAGGCTTTTGATAGGTTTTTCATATCGTTTTTTTTTACTGCTATTTTTTTCTTAGGAAGTTAACACATCGGCAATCCCACTGAAAATCTGTTTTCGAATTGCAGCCATCCCCCATTTTTAATAGTCAATTTGTCACTTCATCTCATAAATGCATAAAAAGCAACATCATCTTCTTTAAATAGTGTCTTTATTTATCATTTGGTCAAGTTAAACTCAATTACATTTGGTTTCGTTTACTGAAACATAAATAAGCTTCAGTTTTTTTTTGATTGGTGATGGTAGTGTGGTATTTAAAAAGAACATTTTGCTAGACATTGATTCAACTTTGCTATTTTTTTTAAAGGCGTACAAAAAGACTAAGGTACATAAGCTGCTTTAAGTACACATTTAAAAAAATGAATAACAGTTTTTCTGTTTGTTTTTCCGTTTAAATTACGAACATAGTTATGATAAAACATCAAGAAGTATCACAAGCCGTATCATTAACTTAGTCTTACTTATTTTTTTTTTCTCATTGTGGTTTACAAAAAAATATTTACCGAATTTACTAGTTTCACATGTGAAAAAGCCACTTTCAATATGTAATATATGATTATCAAAATAGAAGTTCCTCTTTTTCTCCCACTTTCTGTCTGTCTCTGCGACAATACTTCCCTGATCTTTGAATGACTGATTGAATATTGTCGTCAATAATTTTCTTGGAATTAGATCAACAAATCTTCGTCACTGTCCGACAAACCACCCGGTTGATCTAGTAATAAATTGGCTTCTTCATTGCTGCGAACCTAAAAATAGAAAATTCCAAAGGGTTTAACTCAACGCGACCGTAAAATCTATCAATGCAACTATATTATTATCATTATATCGCTGTGCATGCAAATTAACCCGTTTTTATTTTAGTTTCCCTTTATACAAAATGCACCATTGTTAGTTATTTTTGTGCTGGTGTTTACAAAATTAAAAAGTTAAACAAATTTATAGAAAAATAATCTATTATTCATGCCATAGACCCGATTTAAACATCGCATGCGTTATGAAAATTCCAAATTAATATATTTGTTTATACAATTTAATTCGATTAGAAGTAGATCATGCAGATTAATGTAATTGATAGGATACCAACGAACAAAAACCTCGTATTATTTTAATGAAATAATAAAACTCAAAAGAAACAAAAACCTGTATGGCGGATATTAATCTCCAAACAAAACAATCTTTTTCTTTCTAAAACTCTCACTCTCTTATATACTTTAATAGTCGAATAAATTTTCCTGAAAATGATCCCAGCGAATGGAACCAGGAGAAAAGAGACAAAAAAAATACAATGGTCAGAAATATGATTTATAAACGGAAGAGAAAAAAAATAGAATAAAAATTGAAACAATCAGTCAAAAACAAAACAAAAAAAGACGATATTAGTATCAACAACTCGGAAACAATTAACGTTAAAAAAAAAGTGAAATGAAAAAAAAAACGCTTTTTCGAAGGCAAATGAAGGCAATTTCAAAGAATTTTCATTTAATTAAATCATCAAAAAATAAAAAAAACTTTTTCGTCAGCCGAAATATCCGTGTGTGTTTGTGTGCCAGAGTGCTTTCTCTCTCTCTCAATTCTATTGTTTTGGTTGCTGAACTCGGGCTGTGTGTATATGTGTGTCGTTGCTGGCATTTCATTGGCATTAATATCGCACACAAACATCAGGTCGTGGAACACTTACTCGTGAATAATGTACGCTGGCATCGCCGCGCCGGAACAAATACATAATGCGATATCGCCGGTCGGGATTTCTCAATACGACCACAATCAAAGCCATTAGAAGAGCAACAAATGCTGTTGCTATTAAAACTGCACCTGTAATAGACCGTTAATTTATTTGTTACATTTTATCGTCAACTTTCTTTTGTTCGTTTTGTTCTCGTTCTAATTTCTTTTCATTTCTTTCGTTCTCATGTAGCCGCTTTTCTTTTTATTAATTTTTACGACATTTTTTTTTATTGCGAAAGGGCGATCCTTTTGATTGGGGACCCACATTGATTGACAATGGCATTTGGAAAATAGACTTTTTGTTCGGTGACAAGAGAAAAAAGGTCAAATGAACAAGAAACAAAAGAAAAAAAAACATTAAACGAAACACAATTTGAAAGACGACAATTCAAAATTGAAAATAAATTATAAATAAATTTCCGTTTACCCCAGAATCTGCCGGTGTATGTTTTCGGTGTTGAATCATTGGTACCATTTTTATTGTCCGGAATTTCAATAGCCAATTGCGGGCAAATTAATGGTGTTTGTAAGACATACACATAGCCGCACGACTGTGTCTGAAATAAAGAAATAAACTAATTAGCTCAGTATTTAGAACCTAATTCCGAAATTTCGATCAACTTTTGGCCTATAATTAATTTTTCGTTTTTTTTTCGTTACAGGAATTATACAGCAGAACAATTACACACAAAGCAAAACCCAGTCTAGAGTGGTAAGTGTCTATGAATTGTATTTTTTTTCTCTTCTGCATTTAACCCAAAAAAAAAACTGGAGCTCAAAAGAATAAACAAACAATTTTCACCCAAAGAAAAATTGGCGAAAACTCGTTAATAACCACCAATAATGATGATTTAATTTCGCATTCTTGATTTCTAAACTTGTAAATGGATTTTGATTTCATGGCATACGAAACAATGTGAAACATTTTTCGGATGCAAAATAGCTGCCGTCTCACTCCATTTGTGTGTCGCCGTGAGGGCTCTTTATGAAAGCAGCAAAGCATTTCACGACAATCGATGCAAGTGAATGGGAGCAATGGAAACATTACATTGAAAATAGGGAAATAAGAGCAAACGATGGCGACGACAGTGGCAGTGCTAGCATTGTGTCGATTCGTGTGGATGATTACAAATATATTTTGATTTATGGATTTGCTAAATGAGTATCTACGTGCCAGCAATTTCAAGCACGGGGCGATGCTTTTGCCGTCGCTACTGTTGATGCTGCTGTTGTTTGTTTACATCGTTTACATTTGTATCAATAACTTCAGACAAATCACTACGTAATAAGCAAAAATATATTCAATTTCAAGGCGTGATTTGTGTTTGTTGATTTGTGCCAAGCTTTTGTTTCTAACTGACCAAATGGCAATATTGAGTGGCACAGTAGAAACAATAGAAGAAGAAGAAAAAAATCTGGCGCTTACGCTGTCGACACAAGCATACACACACATACATACACAAAGTGCGAGAGTGGTAAATGGCGATCGTCTTGCAAACGCTGGAAAACATGGGGGCAACAGCAAAAGCTGAGCAATCACTGATTAAATCAATAATTCAAATCCGATTGGGAATTGCACCTAACTGAAAATGAATAAGTAAAACAATCGAACTGGAAACCTGGCTCAGCCCCGACAGCTCCTTACAAGATGTGTGTATGTGCAATCGCACCGAATATTATTTTCCAAAGCGCGCGCGTTACAATGCGAATGGCAATACAAATTTATTGTGCAGAGAGAAGAAGACGAACAAACGAACGAACGAGAACGAATGAAATGAAAAAGAAAAATCCGAATCATTTATCGATTTATGGACAAAAGCCGAAACAATGGCAAACTGGAGATGTTCGTCGAAAAATGAAGTAAATAAATTATGTTTACGAAACACAACAAACGATAAATCATTGATATGAACGAAAAACAAACGCACCAAAATCCCATCCGTACCGAGAGGAAAATATATCCTGTTTTATACGTATAGTCTCGTGTGTATGAGTGTGTCTCATCGATATATATATACATATCGTATGCAATTGAGCAACCGAGCTCACGGTTTGTTGTTACTCACACACTGAACGGCATAAATATGAAATCGCACAGACAGCCACCGATCGGTGGCCAATTGCAACAAATCCGAGACAAACAAAAAAAATTGTGTCCGATAAACTTGGGTCTCATAAAACCATCCATAGACTCGTGTTAAGCGCGTGTTTTTTTTCACTTTCTCTCCTTGGTTGCAGAGCGCAAAAACGGAATTTTGAGCACACAAAAAAATGCAACAAATATTAGAATTTCAATTCCAAATACAGAACAAAAAAACAACTTTCCACATTAATTTTCACTCAATGTGGCCAGTCTTTCAATTTATTATAAATACATTTCAGTTCGCCTTTGTCGCTGAGCTAAAATCATTTTTTTCTTTCTCTTGTTCTGCCCTGTTCTGTTCTATTCGGTTGTTCGTTCGTTGTCAGCATTTATCCAGTTTCATTTTATGCCAGCTACTCCAAGCCAATCTGCGAATGCGAATGCGAATGTGAGATTTTTCGTTTCCATTTTTATCATTTTGAAAACATTTTCATCGCGTAAAAACAGTAAAAGCACATTTTGCGCTTTCATTAATAGGATACAATTTTAAATTAAAAGAAGAACACACGAAATATAAATGGCAAATGAAAAGAAATGTCGAAAGAATGAAAAGACGCGCTCTCTCGTGTGCGGTGCTCACCCAGAAAAAGGAAAGAAGAAAAAATTGAAGAAACGGAAAAGAAGACGGACGAACGCAAGCAAGCAAGCTGCGTGCTGCATTTATACTAAATCTCTCTCTCTCTCTCTCTCTCTCTCTCTCTCTCTCTCTCTCTCTCTCTTCCACACACACACACACACACACACACATAAACCATACACTCGGAACTTTTTCAAGTAGCCATCTGCTCAATGGATTAAAAAAGTTTTTCTCCTTTTTATTCCGTTCTTCGGAAAAATTTATGCCCCGCAGAAAACACCGAAAATTGGTGTGGGCAAAACGTAGATGGTAAAAAGGAATTATTAAATATTTCGCTTATTTCGCATTCATCGCGAGCAGCGCAGGCAAAAGAGAGCAAGAGGGCGAGAGAGAACTCAGAAAAGAAACCGAAAGTAATTTTAATTTTGGGTGTTGATTTTGTAGTAATGCCTGTAATGCGTTTGTCGCTCAGCATCGATGTAATATTGATGTGCTGCTGTGCATCTGCGTCTGTATTGTGATTGAAAATTCCATTGAAAATTCGCCTATTCGCGGTTATTGCATACTAAGCAAAATCGGCTGCCCGAATCATTTCGATTTCTCAAAATATAATATACATTCAATGGATTGGGTCATTTTTTTGTGGCTCACTCACTCTCCCACTCGCTCCCTTTCATGCTATCGATGGAAAAATTTGATCAGCATTTGGTGGAGACAACGCCGAAAAAAGTCGGCCATAATCCCCAAATGAAAGCAAATTCAGTCCCGTTCTCCGAATGGAAAAATATCAAAATAGACGCGAAGCAATGAACAAAAAATCTTGTCGAGGCTCGTCTTTTTGTATGGGTGTTGAAAAAAAATCGCTCGAAAAATATTCATTACAGACTGTAGATCGATTGGAATATGCCACAGACGCACACACACACAAAAAAATGAATTACGCAAATGAATCACACTGGTTCTTTTCCTGCAAATGCCGTTCGAAAAAAAACGTGAGCCCACCTCTCGAGAGTGGCAAAGCCGAAAAAATACGTATACCGAAAATCCGATGCTGATTGAAACATCATTGTCAGACGGATGACTGAAATGTATTCTGTTGGCTACTTTGCTGTGCGGCACGTTTCCATTAATATCCCTTGATGTATCCGAGAGTATTTTTCCTGTTTGGATTCACTCATTCTCTCTCTCTCTCTCTTCTTTTCTAACTTTCTTTCTTTCTCTCGCTCACTTTTTTCCGTCATTCATTATTCTAAATCTTTTGGGGGGCCGATTTTCATCTATTATTGTGGATTATTATCCGGCGATTGTGATTAGATTCGACGATTCTGTTTACTTTTGCACCGTGAAACAGAAGTTGTGTTCACGTTATCAAACGAAAAAAAATGACTATAGCACACGCAGCACAAGACGATGATGGGTGTGCTGGCGACAGCACAAACGAAGGCCACCCGACGAAACAAAGCAAAAGCGAAAAATTTCATATTCAAATTCAATCAATCATAATTATTAAACATGAAACGATATCTGCACCTAGTCAGCATGTGTTGTTGTTGTCATGCCATAATCGCTTCATACAAAAGAAAAATGTGCAAATATATATAATAACGTGGCATGTTCGCAGCTTGGCCATTAGCTGTGTAAATCTAGTGTCGCCATTCCCATCGCCATCACACCATTGCCGTTGCCGTATCGTCTCTATCTCATCATGGCAAAGGGAAGCAAGTGGCGAAAATGAGTTCATGTGGACGATCGCCCGAATGCAAACAGCAAAAAGGAACGACATTGAGTGAGTCAGTGTATGTGTGTGTGTGTGTGTTCGAGCAAAAGTAATGGCGAAGAAGACGAAGAACCAGAGAAAGCTAAAGTTGTGGGTGCGATTCGAGCGCATAGACTGTGGCTGAGTGGATTAGAAGGTAATAAGATTTGGGCTGAGGCACAGAAGAATGAGCAGCAGAAGATAAAAAAAAGAATTATTATTATAGCTGACGGAAGGGAATTGAAACCGAAGAGATTTGCTTACGTTCCTGATTTGATATAAACCTAATGGACCGTTTGAAAAATGAATGTTTTTGATCAAGTTCGGTTGGAGGCGTTTTGAGTATTAGCGAGCGCGCTCTCGCACTCATCGCGCGCGCTAAAGCAGAACCAACCCAGCGAATATAACAAGGGACGCGAGATGATAAATGCTTATTTCGTGTTATTAAAAAGAAATGATTGGAAAAACAACATAAGTGCGGGCGAATAACGATGCGACGGGCAACAACACAACCATTTCGTCAATTCGCCAATTTGATGGAGCGAATTTAAATAACAATGTTCCATCGCGCGCCTAATTGGATTATTTTAACCAATGCCACAATAAAATCGGCACATTATTCACGGCATTTCGGATGCTCAAAGCTCCAATCCATGCCCCAGCAACACTTTTGTCAGTTTCAAACCATTGCTGCTTGTCTCTTTTCGTCTGTCGCACACTCTTCGGCTCTTCACTGGAAATCGAGCTGCATCTATACATGTATGGATGTGTATAGTTGCAGTCATGTTTCTTCTCTTGCCAGAAGATGAATGGTTAGCTTTGAACATACCGCAGACGAAAAAGAAATGAACAGAGTCGGGGCGATCCAAAACCATTTGGATTTTAATTCGGGCTTAGTGCCGCATAATAAAGCACAGCTCCTGTATTTAATTATGCAAATATTCATAAAGAAAATGCTTCAGTCTGTCGGTAGTGTCACGTAACGTTGCGTTACACACAGAGTTAACTGTTGGCCCATCGAATAGACGGAAAACTTTTACTGAAATAATCACGTAGATATATTTTCGAAAATAATCCATATTCTTAGCACGACCGAATAAACCCAGATGAATTTCATGTTGATGTCGCAATCTCGTAAATTCACATAAACTAATAAGGATCGGGACATGTGTGTGTGTATGCAAGCGTGTGTGTATCTGAGCGCATATAATGCATTATTTTTGCATGCAGAACACA